TCACCGTCGATCGCTGGAAGAATATCGCGGGAGTAAGAGAAAGTAGCGCGATTACCGTGGCGTGATTATCGCGCGGCGGACATGTGCTCTCGTACGTAAAGGATGTACCGCAGAAACGGTATCAGCTGTTTGCGCCGCACTCGCTCGCCGACTGTTTTTCGCGACCGCGAAAGTGGCGCGACGTTTCGTGACTCGTCGCGCGTCGTGATTCGCGATCGACCGAGGAGACATCTGGACATCTATCGTGGAACAGGTCGGAATGGACTTCCCAATTAGAATTAGGCCCTGCGCACAATGGAGGAAATATTAGGAACAGGAATAGATATTAAGATTTCAACCTATCAGAAACCGTGTATTCCGGTGTAACTGGTATTTGATAGGTTAAAATCTTAATATCTGTTCCTGTTCCTAATATTTCCTCTATTGTGCGCAGGGCCTTAAGCTCAAGCACAATGGCTGCGTTCAGCAGAACGTTCGTTTTGCAACTGTTGGAAGTTTCCTTCGAACTGATTGGATCATACTTTTAGATCTAGAAGAATGGTCCTATCTCAGCAGACAATCATAAAACGGTTGCAAAACTGTTGAGTCTGCTGAACGCAGCTAATACGAGGGAATAGCGATAGCGATAGGAATAACATAATTTCAACCTATCAGAAACTGTGTATTCCGGTGTATCCGATTTCTGATAGATTGAAATCGTGTTATTCCAATTGCTGGATTCACCCTGCATCCGATTTTCGTCGTATGATGCAGGGTGAATCCAGCAATAGGTACAACAGAGAAGCTATCAGCGTCAGGGCTGTGTTTTTTAAGTGCAAAAATATTTGAGGATTTCATGCAACGCGAACTATTATGATGACAAAAATCTAATCCAGCTAGCAATCCAGCAGGAAAATAAGCATCTTGTGCTGTTACATTGGAATTGTCCTTGATTCTCGCATTCTGTGTGCATAAGCCATTATTCCCCTCCACACGCTACAGCGTGCTGCAAGTGAAGCTGTGAAGGCGGCCGCGAATTGGCATCACTGCCTTTCATTCCACTGACTGTTGGAGAATACGGGTCCTTGTGAGTCTGGTGCCATTCAAGAGACAAAAAGACGTTTTCCATTGATTAAGAAATTGTAATTCGATATTAACAGTTTAAAAACCACTGTGTTCTAATATCTTTTCGGTAAGCATCTAGTTTGTTTGTTATATTTTAATAAAAATATACTTATTCGATTGCCTTTCACGTAAAAACAAAAATTTAAGAATAAAAACGTGTCGCTCTGTTCTATAAAATGAGATATATTCATTGTTAAACTTGACGATCCAGATGGCCAAGTTTGTTTGATGCCAAGACAGACAGATTTTAAGTAGAGCATTCTATCAATTTGATAACAGAAAAACAAAATTTTACACAAAGTTTGTTGACGATGTTGGCAGAAATATAACAAAGTCTATTGATGCTATGCCAGTAGACTGGCAGCAGAGTCCGAACAGGATTTGCAGCTCCTGCTCCGTTTATATCGCCAATTTGCTGATTATACGAATAGGTTCTGTCGACGGAATAAAAGCAAAACGCCACAGTTGATATCAGTTTGCCGACATTTCTGATCTGTTGCCAGTTTGCCGACATTTTGCTAATATCGTGCTTGCTGGATACCAGCAGGCCTGTCTTTTTGGCTGAACTTTTGCACCAGTTCATCTTTCTTCCTCTTCTTTCTTTCCTGGAGAGAAAAAGAAGGAAGATGAACTGGTGCAAAAGTTCAGCCAAAAAGAACAGGCCTAGCAGGACCAGGAGTTCGGATCATATAAGGTTTGTTCGCATTGCATGCTCCAACATGTTCCAATATGCTCCTACCTTAGCTCTTACTTGCTCCAACGCACTTGATAGAGTGAGGCTGCTTTCCCATGGAGAAAGAAACCACAGAACGGAATATTGACAGCAAAAAGATAGGACGAGGATTATCCTCAACGTTCCGTTGTTTTTTTCTCCATGGGAAGGCAGTCTGAGTAGGAGCATGTTGGAGCAAGTTGGAGCTTGCGACGTGAACAAACTTATAATCTTTCCCCTAGCGTTAAACGTGGAAAGTTTCCATGCAGACTCCACGAGGTCTGAGTAACGAACACTGGCGATCATATAACTTTTTTTTCGCTTTTTTCACTCTAGAGAAAAAGTTACATGATCGCTAACAGATACCCTGTTCGCATTGCTTGAAATCCTAAAAAAAATGTTAAGTCTGCTCTCTTCAGCTAAAGTTCTTGCACGGTTCATCTTTCTTCTTTCTCTTTCCACGTTGGAGAAAAATTAGATCCGTTCTTTTTAGTTAAAGTTCCTGTAAGATTCATCTTTCTTTTCTCTCGACGTTGAAACTTGAAGCCTGTTTTTTTTTTAGCTGAACCGGTGCAAAAGTTCAACCAAAGAGAACAGGCCTCTGTTTACATTTAAAATGAGATAGGGCAAATCAATAAATACCCGTGTTTGAAGACAGGTGACGTTGCTGATGCAAGTTGGCATTATTATCATGTACTACTATCTTTCAAATGACGCCATACAAAATTTCAGAGTGATTCATGCAATAGTCTTGATTTGACAGCAATTCGTAGTGAGAGTGTTTGATGTTTTCCGATACAATGGAAAAAGAACAATATCGATCCGTGATTCGCTTTTTATTTTTGGATGGAAAAACGTGCGAAGAAATAAAAACGAAGTTGGATGCCGTCTATGGGAACCCTTCACCACCTATGACAACCGTCAGATATTGGTTCAACGAATTCAAATGTGGTCGTTCGTCTGTTTTTGATGAGGAGCGCCCAGGCCGCCCGGCAGACGTAGTTACTGACACGGGTACTTATTGATTTGCCCTCGTATGGATTTGAACGTTGAAGAGAGAAAGCGAAGATGTTGAGTGCAAAAAGTGCAAACAACATGAACAGATCTAATGTATCTTGAAATAATGTGAAAATGATAAAAGTGAGAGATTAGAATATTTATAAGGTCTGTTCGCGTTGCTTGAAATCTCCAACAATTTGTTGCACTTAAAATGAAATAAATATACATTCTTAGAGCAAAAAGTGCAAACAACGCGGCCAGACTTATAATTTCATTGATCTACACTTAAATATAAATTTGCTCACTTTTGTAATTTTCATTTCATTTCAAGATACACAATCGACCCCCTAAATATATACTTACCCCATTTTAAGTAGATTGGTAAAAATCATGTTTTAAACATGTTTTTTATAATAAACTGTTTAAAACATGTATGAAGCATTAAAAATATGTTTAAAAAACAATGTTTTGTTCTTTAAAAAAAAACATCTTACTAACTCTGATTTTAGGTGCAATTTGTTTTTTAACTTTTTTTGTGCCTATTGTACTTGGACAATATTAAGAATTTGGCTGTTTTAACTTCTCATATCTCCAAAACTACCTCTATGCTGAAAAAATTTGCCTTTTTAATTTTGTTTTATTTACAATTTATTCTTTATCTTTCTTATCTTTGTATTTATTTGTATTTTCAAATTTTTGTATTAAAATTTTTGACCCAAATATTTTAAATAGAAATTTTTTTTTATTGAATTGGGTTAAAAAATTACATTTTCTATTTATAATTTTAAATTGAACCGTATTCACGATCTGCTTTTCAAAATTGAACTTATTTTTTTGATTGAAGGGCGTGGAAAATGTGCTTCATGTAATTCCTATAAACGAATAAAAAGGCTTTAAGCATCGAAATGAATTCAAATTTTCAGAAGTACGTATTCGTAAACGTTGAAATGAATCTTTTTCAACCAATTTTAATTGATTATCGTTTACTCAAATGCTTAACTTAAGGAAGTTCTCCAGTCAAAAAACACATAATTAATATTTACGCTTAAACAAATTACATACATGTGAAAGTTGAGAATATGAAAAGTTTATAACATTCTGTTTTCATTGAGTAACACATTTTTATGGATTATTTATTTTATTTGTTATTAGTTTTATTGTTATAAACAAAAATTTTTTTATATAAATATATTAAGATATTGTGAACATGACTTATGCAAAGTTTCATTGAAATTCACCAATTAGTTTATAACAAATAAATATTTTGTTTATTTACTGAACAATTAATGTCTGCATCTCAATATAACTATATTAATATTTTTGAATTCTTATATAAAAAATTGAAATTTTTTCAATATCATTATTTTGTAATACATTTTTATATATTTCTATTAGAGTACAAATTTAAAAAATATTACTTTTTATTGAAATAACTTTTGATCCAGAT